CGCTCTGGCCATCTGCATTCATAGCTTTAATGTAGGCAACAGCTGCAATAGCTAGTGTAGAGGCATCACAAAATATACACAGCTGCCTGTTTGTAGAACTGGTAAGAGAAATGGAGGTGTATGTTCTTGGTACCCTGACGTTTACCAATTCTTCAAGGGATTTTTCCCACTCTTGCCATACTTGAAGCTTATTCTCAGGGAAAGGGTCATCCCACTGACATACCTCTGTGGTAAGCTCCCTCAACAAGGCTCTGCCTCGAATGCTGACTGGAGCTGCCAACCCAAGTGGGTCGTATAGACTGTTTATTGTCGATAACACCCCCCTACGAGTGTAAGGCTTCATGGTTGCAGATACCTGAAAGGTAAACTCATCTGTGGATATATCCCAGCTCAATCCCAGACTTCGCTGCATTGGTGGGAAATCTGTTCCCAGGTCGAGGTCCTTTAGGCCCCTTGCAAGGTCCTCCTTGGGAAATGCTCTCATTACATTGATGCTATTAGAAGCAATCTTGTGCAATGTCAGATTGGATGCAGCCAGTGTTTCTTGGGCCTTCTTGAGGACAACAATGGCCTCCTGATCGGATGGAAATGAGACAAGACAGTCATCGACATAGAAGTGTCGTTCCACAAAGTGACGTATGCTCGAGTCGTCATCCTGATTGTAAGATGCCCTCCTGAGCCCATAGATTGCAACAGCGGGTGATGGACTGTTCCCAAAAACATGCACCCTCATGCGGTACTCCATTATGGGTTCCGCCAGGTCATTGTTCCGGTACCAGAGGAAGCGCAAAAAGTTCCGGTGATCTTCCCTTACCAAGAAACAGTGGAACATCTGCTTGATATCAGCAGTAACTGCAACTCGATTCTCACGGAACCGCATGAGCACACCCAGTAAGCTGTTGTTGAGATTAGGGCCTGTAAGAAGAACATCGTTTAAGGACACTCCGTGGTAAGACGCACTAGAGTCAAAAACTACCCTTATCTGGTCAGGCTTACGAGGGTGATACACCCCAAAGAAAGGAAGATACCAGCATTCCTCATGTTCTTTTAATGGCGGTGCTGGTTCTGCATGTCCGTTGTCAAATATGCTTTGCATAAATTCTATGAAATGTCGTTTCATTTCAGGTCGCCTCTTTAGTGTGTGACACACTGAGGAAAGTCGTTGGCTGGCTTGCTGCTTATTATTGGGGAGACGTGGTCTCGGGACACGAAAAGGCAGTGGAGCCACCCAGCTATTCGAATCATCCTGGTAGACTTCTTTCTCCATTATCTGCAGGAAGATTTGTTCTTCTATTGAGTAGGTGGGCTTTTCATCTGCATCTGTACACTGAAAGACTGTCTCTCCCAAAGTGTCAGCACCAGCTGGTACACTTCCTTGTCCAATAATAGAAGAGCTAAACTTGAGTGAACCTTGACAGCTGGAACCCTCCTTTACCTGGATGCTGTGTTGGCATTGGGAGAAATAGCTTGGTCGCCCATTGCTCAAGATGTTCATCTTGTGAACATTTACAAGCCCAGGTTTGTGAACCCCGCCAAGACAACTTTCGCCAACGATAACCCACCCAAGAGCCAACCGCTGTGCAAACGGTGCATTTGGAGGTCCATTGCGCTGATCAAGTGCCTTATGGGCCTGAATAATGTCTCTACCAAGTAACAGCAAAATATTTGCTTTGGGATCAAGAGCTGGAATCTTTTCTGCAATATCTTTGAGGTGAGGGTGGTAGCGAGCAGCTTCAGGGGTATGGATTTCATTCCGATTGTCAGGAAGCATATCACATTCAATAATCATAGGCAAGAGCAGGCTAGATTGGCCATCTACTGACTCTACAATAAAATTGCTTGCTCTCCTCCCTGTCACAGTCGATACCCCTGCACAAGTCTTCAGAGTATATGAGAACGCGTCTTTGGGAATGCCAAAGATGTCAAAGAAGGAAGATCTAGCTAGGGACCTATTACTTTGATCATCTAGGACTGCGTAAACTCTGACCCCTTTTTCATAAAACCCTTTTGGGTATACATAAACAAGGCAGATCTTGGCACATGAATAGCCACCAGTCTCATTTCTGTATACCTCTGTATGCATAGAAGTAGCAGCAAGTGAAACTGAGGCTGGCTCCCCGCCATGATCTGTAGTGAGCTCTATAACCCGGTGCATTGTCCAGGGTGCGGGTCCCGCATGAAGAGCAGCAATGTGAGAGACGCTGCGACATTCTTCACAGTGGATCTCTGCCCTACAGTTCTTAGCTTGATGACTGGAAGAACTGCAGCATCGAAAACATATCTGATTTTGTTTCAGATATGCTTTACGGTCTTCCAGAGACTTTTCCCTGAACGCTCTGCATTTGTTGAGTGCATGAGGCTTTCTGTGGATGGGACACTCTTTACTAGGGTCCTCGACACCTTTCACTGTGTTACGCCTTTGTTCAGAATTAACCACTTCTGTCTTGTTGACAGAGATAGGCACCTTTGCGCTGAAATGCTTCTCTGAGTATTTCCGTGCTTTGAAGATTGTGTTAGGTGGAGAAACTGAAGACGTGAAACTGGGATCATTCCTCATTCTGGCTTCATTCTTAATAAAGGCTGCAAAAACTGAAAATGGAGGGAATGCCATTGAATAT